GGTGGCCACCAGGGACAACTCTGGGCTGGCCTACCGGAAGTTTGGACAATCTGAGTGTTCCCTGAGAACGAGATATGTGCAGCTCCTATCGGGATTTGTCGACACATTCGGGCCGTGTTGCTGGATTTGTTTTAACTTGTCGAAGTGTCTTGTAGAACCGGGATACCGAGTCTGACCGGAATGTCTCGGGAGAAGGTCTATTCCTTCGTTGACCGTGAGAGCTTGTCATGGGCTAAGTTGGGACTCCCCTACAAGGTTTTGAACTTTTGAAAACCGTGCTCGCGGTTATGGGCAGATGGGAATTTGTTAATGTCCGGTTGTAGAGAACTTGAACCTTAACTTAATTAAAATGAATCAACTGTGTGAGTTGCTGTGATGGTCTCTTCTCGGCGGAGTCCGGGAAGTGAACACGGTGTTGGAGTAATGCTTGCCGCAGGATGCCCTCTAGTTACTCGATCGCGCTTTGCCTTCTCTTCGCGCTCTCTTTTGCGAACAGGATAGCCACCATATATGCTAGTCGCTTGCTGCAGCTCCACATAATTGCCTTGCCTTTCCTATTAAGCTTAAATAGTCTTGATCGCGAGGGTGCGAGATTGCTGAGTCCCTGTGGCTCACAGATTACTATTAAACCAGATGCAGGGCCTGATGATTCCATTCCAGATCACGCGCTTGAGCTCAAGTGGGAGTTCGACGAGGACTCACACCGATACTACGTGTATTTCCCTGATGACCAGTAGTGGTGCCCAGTTGTGGTGATCGGGACCGTGTCGCATGTTGGGTTGTTCTTTTATTTTGGCGCCGTAGTCGGGCCATGAGTGTTTGATTGATGTAATGCTATTTATGTACTTTGATTGATGTGGCGAGTGTAAGCCAACTATGTATCTCCCCTTTATTATCTATATTACATGGGATGTTGTGAAGATTGCCTAACTTGCGACATTGCTTTCAATGCGGTTATGTCTCTAAGTCGTGCCTCGACACGTGGGAGCTATAGCCGCATCAAGGGCGTTACATACACCCCACATCATTTTATTGAAAGAAGAGAGATAACAATTACAAAATTCCTCAAGGGGAGGAATAAAGAAAAGAAAAAGCTAAACTAGAAAGGCTAAAGAAGACTAAGGAAAGAAAAGTAAAAACATTATTGCTAGTATTATTATTACCTTCCAGATTGCGCTTCTTGGCCACCGTTGCTGCCTTTTCATCAATTCACATCAGGTTAGTCTGAGGATTGCGCAAACTGAAGCGGAGATTCTCTTCCGTAACAATGGGTGGGGTGGGAATCACCTCATTCTCGTTGTCCATCGAAGAATCAGGGGACTGGACAATATATTTGCTCGGCCCCTTCCCCTCGAAAATCTCACTCTCCTGCAGGGGTTTCATAGAGGTACCACATTTGACCGTGTCAGCATAGGATTTTTTCATATTGCATGAAACTGTACAACTTGCAGGATACTTTATTGAGTTCACCAGGGAGGGAGTGCTTACATTTCCAAAAATAGCGTGTTTGCCAGAGGGTAGATCACTCTTTCTTTTCTTTTTCTCCGCCTCACCATGCTCCATGGCTAGAGTGTCGATCAGGAGAGTGTTACCGAGAGACTCGCCCGAGCCCTCATCTTCAGGAGAGTCCTGTTGTTTATCCTGGCCCTTACACTGAGAGCCAAATGATGTACCAGTAGCATTGGAGGAAGTTCCCACATCATTCTTTCCATTAGCAGTTTGTATTTTCATCTTCTTAAACGTATGATTTCCAGACTCAGGAGGAATAGTCATTGTTGTTTTCCCACGATCTAGGTCCCTGACCAGCACCTGATCTAGCTCGTAATAAAAATCAAAAAAGTGACCCCCCCCAGCACTGCCTCAGCTACATGTGGAATTTCATCCACATTCCTGCAACCAATTTCCACACGCATATATTCAGGGCGATGAAGCGTAGCCCCATCGATTTCCAAGGGGACACCAACCAGAGAGGAGACAAATGTCAGGTTCCTTTCATTCCTTTTCTCCAAGGGGACATTGCTGACTTTAATCCAGGCTTTCTCCATAACCCCTTTGACTCCAAGAGCCGAGGTCCAGGGATCAATTTTCACCACAGTACCAGTGGATTTGAGGGTCATTCTGCCAATATAGCAAGCTTTGGAAACATCACGACGATTAGGAAACCTAACAATAAAAACACCAGGTCCAATGGCTCTAGCCGTACATCTCCATTCAGTAGCAATGTATTGAGATAACTCAAATTCCATATCCTTAGTAGAAGTGTGCCCCTCCACAATAGTGATCATCACACTAGTCTCACGCTCTTTCATCTGCCTAGCAGTACACGAATCATGTATGTAATAAAATCCTTGCCCCTTAGCAGAGAAGGAACACATCGATGCAATGCAATCCCAAGGAAGAAACTCAACACAAACAGAAGCAAGATGGCCTAGTTTGCTGCATCTCTCACAAAAGGCTTGCGGGCATCTAGCAGGGGTATCCTCAGGTGACTTGTAGATCAGACAGGCATTATGGTTCATGGGCGAGTTCACCTGAGTGGTTTGGTTGCCCAGCATGCGGCGCTGCGCATCTCCCCAAGCTGCTTGTCGATGTTGTCCCCTCCACCAGATCCAGACATGGCCTTGGGTTTCTCCACCCAAACCCCACCGGATCTGGGCTCTTGGCGACCAGCCGCAGCAGCTTCCCATAGATCAGCAGCGCCCGTAGAATGGACGGCGTTGGAGGAGGCGTGGTCGGCCTCGCCATCGTTCCTCCGCCAGGAGAACTTGCGCCCATGGTCAAAGCGCCCAGCTCCCCGATCCGCCCACTCGGCTCCACCGCCGTCGTGCTTGTCGCCCCGGTAGCCACGCCCCCCGCCACCAGCCATCGGAGAAGCCCACGCCGGAGAAGCCACGACCTCCGCGAACGACCTTTCGTCGCCTCCAACCTTGTCGCGCCACCAGTGGAAGGAAGGGGGGAAACTGGATCTAGGGTTTTTGGCGCCGCCCAGAGGTGGGAGAGGGCGGAATCGAGATCAAGGATGTGGTAGGGTTTGGGTTTTATACCCGCGGTGCCCACATCGCTCCTCTCATGGCGGCCTGGATCGCCGTCCACGTGGGCTACATCCGCCATGGGTGGTGGGGTGCCACCCCTAGGTCCCGCACCCAGCAGCCCCGGGTCGCTCGATCTCCTTGGTGGCACACAGGCGTGTACCGCGCCTCCCCACATCAAGACGTGACGGTCCGTCGGGATCGATCGCCGGCTTCGACGCCGTCGAGGGCACCGGCAGCCTGTCCCAGATCCTGGCAAAAAAACACGGGAATGGCACTATGTGCCCGATGTCGATGTACTCGCCCTCACGAAGAGAGCGCGCGTCAACCGTGCGCCCCTCCCCATCGAGAAGGACCAGCCGAAGCGCCTCGTGTCGAAGCACGATCTTGTCGACGTCGAACGTGATCGAGCGGGCGGCGAGGAGATCCGCCGCGTAGGTCGCACGCCACCGCGTGTCGCCAGCACCGCACCGCGTGACACATGAGGAAAACTCCTTTAATCATAGGGAGCTACTTGTGTCAGTCCAATAGCAGCGCTGGGAGGGCACCGTTGAGTCGAGACGTCCTTAGATCTTACAACATGGGATACATAACCGCTTCCTTTCTTTAGGGTGTGAGAATATAGATAGAGCCATACAAAGCGAAATAAAGGGAAAAGGACTGAACGGACACAAAGGCCCAACAAGGCAATATCATGGCACGAATAACAAAAATAGATACTGCACGAACAAGGCAGTGTAAAGTATGATGTGTTAGAATAGAACAAAGTCGATTATGACAAAGAAAATAACTATTATTGTCCAGAGTATGTGATACATCAAATACATAGCGGCATAACAAGTACATGAGCTTAGATAAAAAGGTATTTCTTTTGATATGCATAATACACCATTTCTTTTTTAATATAAAACGTCTTGTCGGTTAAATTTAAATTGACAAAACGTCTTATATTTAGAAAGGAAGGTAGTAGAAGTTAGACGCGGAGTAAATGTAACCGAGAGAATACGTGAGCTAGGTGGCTTAAGTGCACCTTTGAACACCTGTCCTTTCTTTCATTGCCTTTTCAAAGGAAAAAAACCTACCAGTATAATACTTCCTTCGTTACATAATGTAAGACATTTTTATATTAATGTAATATTAAAAAGCATCTTACATTATGAGACGGAGGGAGTAGTTTATTTTCTTTTCCTAAAAATTGCTCTAAAAGGAGCTAGACATGCCAACGTGGCAGGCTAGTCGAAGTGGGGGCTATAGTTGGCGACGCATCCTTATCCACCAACACCACACGTACATAGCCGCTACGTGTACCCTCCACAGCATAGGCTTTGCCATTGTATATGCTAGGCTAGTAGAAAGCGAGTCCGTGATCTTGGAGCAAAGCGAAGCTGCCCCAGCCGCACGCGCCGCCACCACCGACGTCATCTACAACGTCGAGGTCGTCGAGGTTCCACAAGCTGCCCCACGTGGCGCCGCAGGCGTCGATCTCCCCGCTGGAACCCGCGTCGCTGGCGGCGCCATCGCCGCCGTTGAGGAGGAAGTAGGCCGACGTCGACATTGGATCATGGTACTGCAGGAAGTCGTCCATGTCCGCCATATCCCGCATCATCGCCAGGTCGTCGTCGTCCTGCGCCGGCGGCGGTGCTGGCCATGTTGTTGCTTCATCTGCGTGATGGCTAGCCGCGCCGTCGCCGTTGTTGTCCGCGCTAGCAGCGCCGTCGTCGTCCTGGACGTCGCGCTGGTGCTCGTGGTGACCTTGCATGATCTCGCGGCGCTGCTTGAGGAAGCGCGCCCTGGCGCGCTCGATGTTCTTGGACGACGGCTTGCCCTTCTTGAAGTGCGTCCGCCAGTAGTTCTTGATCTCGTTGTCCGTCCGGCCGGGGAGGCTACGCGCAATCGTCGACCATCTGGCAGAAGATCGATCATCACAAATTAAGTGCGTGTGTTTTGTGAGCTCGATCCCATCGATCATGGGCTCATGGCATGCATGCACATCCGCAAACTAAAGATTTTTTACCTGTTTCCCCACAAGGCATGGAGCTCGAGTATGACGGTCTCCTCCTGCGGCGTGATCTTGCCTCTCTTGAGGTCAGGTCGCAGGTAATTCACCCACCGAAGCCTGCAGCTCTTCCCGCTTCTCTTCAGACCTGCAGCAAAACGAGCTTAGCGACATGCAAGCTCGACGAATTTGCATGCGCACGTACCCGTACGCATGCAGCCCAAATTTAACGAACACGAATGATTGCGCACCTGTGAGCTTGGCGACAGAATTCCACCTCCCATCCCCCTGCTGCCGAACATAGCCGAGCAGCAGCTTGTCTTCCTGCGCCGTCCACGGCCCTTTCCTCCACCCTCCCTCCTCCCTTCCCCAGCCATACTGCTCCATTCCAACAATAACTACTCGTAATCGAGCTGTAGACTCCCCGTCAGGGAGAGAGAGCGAGCGAGAGTGAGGTGAGGTGGTGGTGTGCAACAAACGAGGCGTGCTATCGCTGCATATATACTGGCGCGCTGCGTAGGGGCGCCGGGTCACCGGTCACCGCAGGTCAGGTCGCTGTCAGGGACACTCCACTGTCACTACCCCCTGATCGACGAGGTGGCAAGGGAATCGTCTGCCGGAAATGCCCCGACGGCCGGCGATCGCTCGATTCTTAAATCTAATCAACCTTTTGCTCCTCCTTTTCTCGACAGGCATGATGATGGATTACCGACTCACCGTAGGTTTTCTGCCGAAAGCGCGGCCTCCGCGCCTAGCTTAGCTGCGTTTCTTTGGGTGTTGCTTTGTGTAGCCACGACAGGGACAAACCGTGGATGTTTCCTAGCTTGTAGCTAGCCGGCCATCGATCCAGCCTCCTGCTCCTGGTGCGGCACATCGATCGTACTACCGACTCTTGCAACAGTTTTTGCTAGCCCTCATACCCTTCGTGCGATGGAGATCGATGGATCAGCAATAATATCGCATGTAAGGGAAGTTTGGGCTTAATAATTTTTGGGCACTGTCTCATTTTTAGTTACCTTGTCTCGTGTGGTGCATCTAGATCTAGTCGACGAACAACATGATGCTGGCATAGATTTGGTGCTGTTAACAATAGTGCTAGTGCATCTTCTTTTCTTTTCCTAGCTAAAGGATTACCACCAATGCATCATTGAACGTGGGTTCAAAGATTCGTTCTAGAAAGGGCTGGGGCGTGTTTCGTACGTTTTATGTGCATTGCTCCACGTGTGGCCACACAAGAGGACGTGTAGTACTGTCGTGTACGGGGGTTGTGGCTCGTGGCAGCATATCCACGTTAGCCTTTTCCTTTTACAAAGTCCCTACATTCATTGGTACGTATTATAAACTGAAGAGGCAAGAGGACTATAGACCCATAAACTTGCAATAGATATGATGGTTTAGCCCACAACCTTGCAAAAGATGATCACCTCATCCCTAAACTAGCAATGTATGTGAAGATTTAGTCCAAAACCAATCAAAAGTTGACAAATGACGCCACGCTGGCCATGTCATGCCACACCCGCTTGGCCTGGCATTTTTACAGAAACCCCCTCCATCTTTATAGAAATCATGAACGCAGTTGCGCTTGCGCCTACGTGCCGAGGGCGGTGCTAGCAATCTGGCTATGATTGGCGGCTGCCATACCTCAAATTCCACCAATAAATATACTGGTATATATACGAGTACTAGTATGTGTGCATCTTGATTATAATTGATAAGGTATTGTACGTGTTGAGCCAGCTGAGTTGATTGCTGACTTAATGATGGTCCTAATGCATCGGCAAGTGGTCTTGCGAGTTACACTCCACGCACAAATCAACACACGTTCGTCGGGTTCAAAATTCTGGAAAATGGAAATCCTTTCGCTGCATGGCCGAATGTGTGCAGTAGCAAGCAACAAGCAGGGAGAGGCAGTGGCCGGCATTGAATCGGGCCATACGAGGACGCAAGCGCGACTGAGCACAAAATGGCATAGAATAAGAAGATCAAATGATGAATGAAAGTGTTCTAAAAATGTAAAGAAAGAAAGTTAATTTAGAATTGAAATTGAACTTTAAATTTTTGAAGCAAATTTTGTTGTCGTCTGCCAAAATAAGCTCATATATTTTAGGTATCCCCTATTGACAAAACTAATACATTGGTTTTCAATTTTGATTTTGCTTGTTAAACACAAAGTATTTATATAACTAATATAGTGAGCTCTCACATAATTACATTATATGTACATGGTTTTCTCCTTCGTAGATATCGTCACACCTAAGAACTATTTCTGCCTCCGCCACTGGTAGTAATTAACGCGGTTTCAGTACTGGTCTCAACAGTGACATAGTCCAACATGTTTTTCTTTGTTGGTGTCCAATCCACACGATTCCATATTCCATCGAATCTTTACCCAAAACTTGGAAACTTCACAACACAAAACTTAACAGAAAACTCGTAAGCTCCGTTAGTATAAGAAAATAAATCACCACTTAGGTACTATTGTGAACTCATTCTAAATTCATATTGGTGTAATATCTACGATATTCCAACTCATCTATGGTTCATACCATCCGATACTACTCATAGATTCATCAAAATAAGCAAACAACACATAGAAAACAGAATCTGTCAAAAACAGAACAGTCTGTAGTAATATGTAGGTTTCGACTACTTCTGGAACCCCAAAAATTCTAAAATAAATTGCTGGACGTTAGGAGTTTATCTATTAATCATCTGCAAAAATAATTAGCTAAATAGCACTCTTCAATAAAAAAGGCAGCAAATCTCGTGAGCGCTAAAGTTTCTGTTTTTTACAGCAAGATCGCAAATACTTTCCCCAAGTCTTCCCAAAGGTTCTACTTGGCACAAACACTAATTAAAACATAAAAACTCAATCATAACAGAGGCTAGATAAATTATTTATTACTAAACAGGAACAAAAAGCAAGGGACAAAAATAAAATTGGGTTGCCTCCCAACAAGCGCTATCGTTTAACGCCCCTAGCTAGGCATGATGATTTCAATGATACTCATATAAAAGATAAGAATTATAACATAAAGAGAGCATCATAAAGAATATGACTAACACATTTAAGTCTAACCCACTTCCTATGCATAGGGATTTTGTGAGCAAACAATTTATGGGAACAAAAATCAACTTGCATAGGAAGGTAAAATAAGCAAATCTTCAAGATTTTCAACACATAGAGAGGAAACTTGATATTATTGCAATTCCTACAAGCATATGTTCCTCCCTCATAATAATTTTCAGTAGCATCATGAATGAATTCAACAATATAACTATCACATAAAGCATTCTTTTCATGATCCCCAAGCATATAAATTTTATTACTCTCCACATAAGCGAATTTCTTCTCATGAATAGTAGTGGGAGCAAACTCAACAAAATAACTATCATGTGAGGCATAATCCAATTGAAAACTAAAATCATGATGACAAGTTTCATGGTTATCATTATTCTTTATAGCATACATGTCATCACAATAATCATCATAGATAGCAACTTTATTCTCATAATCAATTGGAACCTCTTCCGAAATAGTGGATTCATCACTAAATAAAGTCATGACCTCTCCAAATCCACTTCCATCAATATAATCATCATAAATAGGAGGCATGCTTTCATCATAATAAATTTTCTCATCAAAACTTGGGGGACAAAAGATATCATCTTCATCAAACATAGCATCCCCAAGCTTGTGGCTTTGCATATCATTAGCATCATAGGTATTCAAGGAATTTATACTAACAACGTTGCAATCATGCTCATCATACAAAGATTTAGTGCCTAACATTCTAATGCATTCTTCATTGTAACAATTTGGCACAATTATCGGAATCCTTATTTTCATGGAAGACATTAAAAAGATGAAGCATATGAGGTATCCTCAATTTCATTTTTTTGTAGTTTTCTTTTATAGACTAAACTAGTGATAAAACAAGAAACAAAAAGATTCGATTGCAAGATCTAAAGATATACCTTCAAGCGCTAACCTCCCTGGCAACGTTGCCAGAAAAGAGCTTGATGTCTACTACACAACCTTCTTCTTGTAGACGTTGTTGGGCCTCCAAGTGCAGAGGTTTGTAGGACAATAGCAAATTTCCCTCAAGTGGATGACCTAAGGTTTATCAATCCATGGGAGGCATGGGATGAAGATGGTCTCTCTTAAACAACCCTCAACCAAATAACAAAGAGTCTCTTGTGTCCCAAACACACCCAATACAATGGTAAATTGTATAGGTGCACTAGTTCGGCGAAGAGATGGTGATACAAGTGCAATATGGATAGCAAATAATGGTTTTTGTAATATGAAAAATATAAAAATAGCAAGGTAGCAAGTGATAAAAGTGAGCACAAATGGTATTGCAATGCTAGGAAACAAGGCCTAGGGTACATACTTTCACTAGTGCAAGTCCTCCCAACAATAATAACATAATTGGATCATATAACTATCCCTCAACATGCAACAAAGAGTCACTCCAAAGTCACTAATAGCGGAGAACAAACGAAGAGATTATGGTAGGGTACGAAACCACCTCAAAGTTATCCTTTCTGATCGATCTATTCAAGAGTCCGTAGTAAAATAACATGCAACTATTCTTTCCGTTCGATCTATCATAGAGTTCGTACTAGAATAACACCTTAAGACACAAATCAACCAAAACCCTAATGTCACCTAGATACTCCAATGTGACCACAAGTATCCGTGGGTATGATTATACGATATGCATCACACTATCTCAGATTCATCTATTCAACCAACACAAAGAACTTCAAAGAGTGCCCCAAAGTTTCTACCAGAGAGTCAAGACGAAAACGTGTGCCAACCCCTATGCATAAGTTCACGAGGTCATGGAACTCGCAAGTTGATCACCAAAACATACATCAAGTGGATCATGTGATATCCCATTGTCACCACAGATAAGCACATGCAAGACATACATCAAGTGTTCTCAAATCCTTAAAGACTCAATCCGATAAGATAACTTCAAAGGGAAAACTCAATTCATCACAAGAGAGTAGAGGGGGAGAAACATCATAAGATCCAAATATAATAGCAAAGCTCGCGATACATCAAGATCGTGCTGACTCAAGAACACAAGAGAGAGATCAAACACATAGCTACTGGTACATACCCTCGGCCCCGAGGGACAACTACTCCCTCCTCATCATGGAGAGCACCGAGATGATGAAGATGGCCACCGGAGAGGGATTCCCCCCCTCCGGCAGGGTGCCGGAATGGGTCTAGATTGGTTTTAGGTGGCTACGGAGGCTTCTGGCGACGGAACTCCCGACCTATTCTGCTCCTCGATGTTTTTAGGGTATATGGACATATATAGGCGAAAGAAGTCGGTCAGGGGAACCACGAGGGGCCCACGAGGGTGGGT